AGGTGATGGGTATATCTTTTGTATTTCCATTATAACATATCATTTTCTAAAATGTTCTGTATCTTCTAGAATCACTTCCCGTGCTCTTTTTTTTTTAATGCTCTAGATGACTTACATTCTACCTCTCTTCTGTATTTGCCACATAAAGAGGTTTCTTTATTGCCTTTGTCATCATTATTATAAAAAAGTATTTGTAGATGTACTGTATTCATAGCCTTTCTGTCATTCAGTAAAGAGGGGTGCCCACCGTTCTGTTGTTCTGTGGTAAGAGGCAGTGTTACTTCTTGTTTCCCACAGGATAGGGTAGAAGGGGACTTAAGTCACATGGCAAGGGTGATATTAGTATTTGTAACTGGATAGCCTCCTGGGGTGAAACACTGGGTCCTTCTGGCATCTGGGCCTCCCCATGTAGGATTTTGGAAGTTTGTTTTTGCTGCATTTAGCCAGCTTCCTTTTGTCTCTTTGGCTTGATAATGGTAAATTTCTTTGGGTAGAGCCAACAAGTATACCACTTCATCTGGGGCCTGTATTCACGAGGGTGTGTGGGGTCCTCTAATGTTACTTTGCCCATTATAGTACTATCTTTAGCCTTTGTTGTATTTGAGGGTGAGAGTAAGAAGTGTTGTTGCTCTCTACTTTGTCCATATGACATGAATAAGGGTGCTTGGTCATTCACACTGTTTTCCAGATTATAGTGTGTAATCTATTTTTCTTTTCTTTTTCTTTCTGAATACCTAATAAGGTTCAGGATATAGGGTGGTCAGACACTATCAGATGCTTATATTTTGTGCCGTCCATGGATGTAGCATCCATCAGTTTTGTGATTTAGATGTGTTTCTATCTGTCATTAGAAAGAGGGGCTTGTAAACATATAGATGGTCTTCCACCCCATGATATTTGTCATGTATTTGTAAGAAAGTGTTTCTCTGTATACTGACAAATGGACAGCAGTCTCTGATTTTTTATATGGTGGGACAAAGTAAGGGTGTCTTTTTTTTACCATCAGTATGCTGACTGTGTATTTCTAAGATTGTATTGTATCTCTCTGCTTTAAACGCCATTGCTTGTAGAAGGTCATGGGCCTCCTTATGTAGAGATTGGTAATGCTTCCTGAGCATTTTTTTAGCTCATTACCCTGGACTAAAAAAGAAATATTATGTACCCCACTACAAAGAGAGGCCAAGTGTCAGCCACATTACTTCCTTTTTCATTCTTTTTTTAGAGGATTGTTTATTTACTTTCAACTGATTGACATATCATAAGATGGAATGACCAGAGATTTTTTTTTCCAGTGGTTCTTCTACATTCACCCCAATGTTTTGCTCATTCTTAATAGAGTTGCATGTTCTCTTATACACGAGTTCTTTGCTCATTTGCAAAAGTACAGTCACATTTTATTTTATTTTTTTAAGATTTAGCCAGGCCTTTCAAGTCATGTAACATATCCTTTTCTGAGACTGAGCTGACTAGCAGAGAGTGACTGTGAAGGAGATGTGCTGGTTTGGGGCTGTATTCCTCACTCTGTTCTCTGCAGTATGGTTTTGTAGTTACAAGTGCACAAAGTGACATGCCTTGAAAGAAATGGTTGGGACTCAGTTCTTTTTCTTTTTTTTTTTAAATTTTATTTATTTTTTTTCCCCCAAAGCCCCAGTAGATAGTTGTACATCATAGTTGCACATCCTTTTAGTTGCTGCTGTATGTGGGATGTGGCCTCAGCATGGCCAGGGAAACGGCGCGTCGGTGCGCGCCCGGGATCCAAACCCGGGCCGCCAGCAGTGGAGCGCTCGCACTTGACCGCTAAGCCGCGGGGCCGGCCCAGGGACTGAGTTCTGAACAATCTTAACCATGTTACTACCTGGAGACTAATTAAGTGGCATTACTCTCATCACTAATCTCACTTCCTGATGTCATCTAAAATATCTCCCCCTGCCTTCTCTCCAAAAAAAAAATCCAAAATTGACAATCATAACAAAATCCCCCCAAAAACCTACGAAGGCCAGCTCTGATTGCTCCTGTCTTACAGTTCAGCCACTAGCTTTGGACATGTTGCTTAATTGATACTTTTTGTATATATAGTCTTCAATGCGGTTGACAAGTGAAAAGCCTTTTGGAACACATAACATTCAGTCATTTAACAGACTACTCATTGTCTCTCTTATTTTTTCCTTGTCAGTTACCATAAGGTAAGATTATGTATTTAGTCACTTAACAACACTTGCAAAGTGGATTATTTTTCCTTCTTTATTTCCACCTAACCATTGGAGTGAGTACTGGAGTTTATCTTCTCATAATAATAGTAAATTACTGTGTCCCTACTTTTGTGTTCAACATCTGTGAGAAAATGGGGAGTTAACTCCGAGTAATGGCAGTACGACTCGTCAGGACTCTTGATTGTCTCTCTGTAGCCTGTACAGTATCTTGGAGATCATTTATACTTTCAGCTAAATCTAGTGTCTGTAACAAGTGATAAACCAGATATTTAAGTTTATTTAGACTTTTCTACAGTATACATTTCACAAGATATGTATCTGTGTGTTATGTTAGAATTGTACACAGATACAACCAGAGATGCTCCTGCACTAAAAAACAGAAAAAGGAAAAAACAAAGCCTTTATTTCTGGTTTTGAAAAACAGGTATTATCTTTTTTTCTTTCATCAGGGTTGATTTAGATTGCCAGGAAGCATTTCTGAAGGTATAGAATATAATCAAGAATTAATCTTTTTAAAACTTAGATTTTGTTTTTAATCTTTGTCTAAAAAGTCATTTCTGAGGATATATGTGCCCCATTGGATTTCTGGGGCACTTGGATATCAAACCACTTGGAAGCAATAAAAAGAAATTGGTGCAAAGTGTGAAATTATCAAATAGAAAGAAAACAGTTGCAATAGTGAAGAAATTACCCATGTATTGTTAAAAATAATCTGAAAGTGATGATTGGAAGTGTAAATTCAGATATTCGGTGGAAAAATGGAATGTTGATGTGGTTATCATGTTGAAATAGGCACATAGACCTAGTGTATAAAGAACACTCCCCAAAACGGGGATGTTTAGAAGATAAAGAAGTTGATGGAATTGGTTATTTTAAAGTGTTTTGTTTGTTTCTCTTTTTAAAAAGTGATTGAAATAAAATAACCCTTCTTAGTGAAGAAAATGTAAACTTTAGTGGAAGTTCAGCAGAATGAAACATTTAAAAAGATTGAAGATAAGGATTTTTTATTGCGAATCCACAAGGGGGTAGTGATGTTCTATCAAAGATATTTGTGGTGGAAATGTGAGATGATCTCTTTTAACATTTAGATTTACAGATAAAACTGGTATGTTTGCATTTTAACTTAATAAGGTCTTCTTTTTAAAATGTTTATTGGCAAAATATTTATTGCTTAAATTTTTAAAAAATCCATTTTGGGTGAATGGCTATTTTAGGCTATATGAATGGTAAAGAGGACAGAATGTCCTTGTAGTTATGTGCTTTGGTGAGGTTACCAAGGATCTGAGGGTCATTTATTTTCGAAGAATATAACAATCTTAAGTTTCCTGGGAAACATTAGGAATCTAGGAATCAGTTTCTTAAGCGTCCTGAATGAAAAGATTTTAGTAAGTTGTGTCTAAACTTGACAGAAGTTTCTGTGTAGTATTAGTTGTATTTTCAGTTCTGCCAAGAGATGAAAAATGTGAACAATCCACACCGATAGCCGCTTTTAATAGTTCTAAGTAAATCAAGTTTTTATAATCTCCTTTTTTATTAGTTTATATTACATCATTAGATAAAAGCATTTTTTCCCTCTCACATAAAAATTCCAGTAGCTTGCCTGAGGTCACTGAGTTCCACCCAATTATATTCAGAGTTGCTTAAAATTAGGCGTGGTGTGGCAATGCCAGTAGTTTTCAATGAAGACCTAAAACTATATTATGCACTCTTTTTTGAATGAGATGGCACATGATGGGAGAAAGATTTAAGGCAGAGATGGGACTGTGTTCTACTTACTTAGAGACACAACTCACAATATCTTTTAAGAATTTTACTTTTAACAACAGTGTGAAACTTCCATGGTTATGCTTGTTTGTAGCATATGCGTTGTGTATTTTTCATATTTGGTCCAGGGAAAAGGTTGTTAATACAGTTTTTCTCTCTCTGTCTCTCTCTTTCTCCTTCCCTTCCCTTGTTCTGAGCAGGGGCTTTTTCTGTTTCATCTCCTTCACTAAATGACTGGTGGTTTAACATCAGTTCTTCTTCACAGACTCCCCTAAGCTCTGCTGGGAGCTGAACTATGACGTCAGCATTTTCATTCATGAATTTCATTCTTCTCAATCTCTTTTGGTGTTTTGTATTCCTGAGCTGACTTCTGGCACATGCACAAATCAGTTTACCATCAGTCAGCCCCTAAATCAGCGATAAAAGGTAAAACAGAAGATAAGATACTGGAGTTGTTTTGATAGAGCTCGAGTTGCTCATGCTGATTTGCATCAGTGTAGTTTGGACAAGGTTTCTGGTGAAACAGATTGAAACCTAAAAACAGTCAGTTTAATTATCTCATGATTTTGTGGATTGAGCTGTGTTGTGAACATATTGACACTACATTTTTGTTCTCCCATGAAGTTCAGAGTGCTATGCTGTAGCTCCTTTGTTTTAAAGTAGCGTTTCAGTTGTAATTTGACTAAATTGGAGGATTCTACTTTATTTCAGAGAGGTTAGGCCTGGAGATTAAATTATGTTCTATTCAGATTACTTTTGCAATGCATTTGGATTTTTCGGGGGAGGGGCATTTTGTTGCTCTTGAAATATTTTAAATAACTTTATTGTTTGATACTTGTATTTTCAATATGTTTTGTTGTTATTATGTAACTAGCATAGCATTCCTTGTGTTGGAGTTAGGTTTCATCTCCTCTAGATTGTACACTCGTGTAGCTGTTGACTCCAGTTTCTTCTCCAGGGAGGTCACTGCTTATAATTTAGTACTGCGTGAGAGCAGTTCTTGAAGAAATCTTATTTGGAGTTTTCCTCTGCAGGGCCGAGTTTGAGGCCATCCGGCGTATGGCATCTTTCGAGCCTCCTGTAGTTGATGAATGGTGAGCTTTAAAAAAGTTCATTTTCTCTGCTTTCTTGGGTTTTTTTTTGGCTTTCTAGATATTTAATTGCCAAGAAACATTTAGAAATAAGATGTGTTATATTTAGAAGTCATTTTAGTTCAGTTACAATTTATGGTTAGAGTAGATGATTTGAAATGCAGCCATTTTGATTGATACCCAGTATTACTTCTGAGATGACTTTTTAAACCTCATGACAACTCAGATACCGTCTCTTCCCACCCTTAGATGAAATGAGAGCTTTGTGTTGTCTGAAGGGGAACAGAGATGTTTGTTTGGTCTCTTCTTTAGCTTTGTCTGTTAAGTAGATGTTCTAAGAAAAACATAAGAGCAAGTAGACATGAATAAGCATTTGAAGATGACTTAAATGATGTTTATTATTTTCTCTAAGAACTAAATTGTTTTAAAATTGTTTAAATATAATTTCTAGAAAGGAATCTAATTGTAAATAGTTGAAGAAAGGAATATTTCATGGTAGAGGGTCTCTGTAAACATTTCCTAATTTTCAAAACTATGTACCACTGTAGGATTTATGAAAAGTTACAGGTTTTGATATCATATTTCAAAATGTTGAGAAGACTAGCTGTAGTGTCAGCATTATCATTTTTTTCTTACCCTGAGCCAAACAATGCTAGATGAGTCCTCTGGCCATGAAGGCTGAGATTTCCTACGTGGCTTTTAGAACAAGCCCACTGTGATTCCCAGCTCATCCTCTTCTCTTTTTCAGTAGCGAGGAACACTGGCGAACGGGACCAGGGACCCCAGCTAGAGGTGTATTTTCTGCTGTCCTCGCTGCCACTTGTGTAGGTCTGGTGCTAGAAGCCTCTTTCCTTGGCCTCCACAACTTTCTCTTCCTTACTAGATACTATTTCATCACTCTTAATTCTGGCACAGCTTCTCATCTTGCTTTTCCCAGACTTCAGCTCTGCTATAGTGTTAGTTGGTAATAATTTTGAGGGGATTCATGTGTTGGGTAAAGGATTGTCCTAGTGATGACCTCTCAGGTTCCTTCCTATTTTGACTTATGATTATAAGAAAATGAAGTTCAATATATGGAATTTTGCTTTATGGCTTCCTTTGCTGGTATGCAGCTATTCTGTTCTGCATAACTACATCTTTTCTTTTTGAGGTACTTGCTCCAGGTCAGGAATTAAAATGTTGGCTCAAGCCATGTAGGAGGAATTTGAACTATAGTCACTGAGGTGTCTCCTTTCTGGTGTATGTAGAGGGCTTAATTTTTTAGGTCTGTTTAACAATTTGCAAGTGTTTACTTTAAAAAATGTAAAAAATTATAAAAGCTGTTAAAGATACACAGCACAAAAATGTTCATTTTGCTTGGTTATTCCTTATGACACACGTCAGGTCTTTTATTCTGATATGGATGAGAGTTCATAGTTTTGGAAAAATAGACTTAAATAACATGATGACAGATGAAAAAGTGTCTGCTAATCTCAGACTTTTTATGTTTTAGGTAGTATTATTTATATTCATTTAGTTGTAGTTTCTGGAGTTGATTGATGTAAGTGTTATTAAAATGTATTGATTGCTAGTAATTCAGTAAATAAGACTCTTCCTATTAAGAAACCTGTGTGGATTGGGGAGTTTTAGCAGGTCCATTGTAATGGATCATATGAGATCTTTGCTTGGGCATACTCCCTGGGTTGCTACAGGCCTCGCATTTAGAGAGGCCTTGAATATAACTTATTTTTCCAGAGTTTCTTTCATATTTAAAGATACTGAGGGACAAGTTAAAGTGCCCAGTGTTCTGCCTTCTCATTTCTGTCTCTGCCATTGTGAAATGTGCTGGCTGAATCATTTGCTTTGACAAAGCTTCTGATGGAGGTCTCTTCCTCATTTAATTTTATTGATAGAGGCTGTTGTGCTTAAAAAGAAAGCTATAACAAGCAGAAGGTGGTGAGTGGGTACTCAACATTTTTGAAGTGCTTTCTTTCTTCCTAGGGGTCCTCCAGAAATTGATCATAGATTACTTGACCAAATTCAAGGCCCAGGGATTTATTCCAGGCGGTCTGGGAGGTGAGGAACATCAGTCTTTCTCTTGTGAATCTGATTATTCTACGTATGACCCATTGTTGCCTGTATAGGTGTCTTCTGATGTAAATCTGGTGATAGCGGCAACATTTCTAACTGGGCTGAGTATCCTTGATAGCTGTTATCTGTCCTCCCCAGGTATTTTTAGTCTCCAGCCTCGGTGGTCATGTCTAGAGGAACTGGGGATGAATTTAACTGCTCTGGGACTGCTCCAAGTCCTTGCGGATGTTCTCTGCCACCTTCTCCAGCCTACCACAATACCACCTCGGATGAGGGTCTTTGCCCTTGTCATTTGATGAAAGAGCATAGACAGAAGTCATTTGTTTAATAAGAATGAAAAAGTCATGATTTTCAGAATGCTTTTAAAAATAAACAATGGTTAGTGGTGATGGTGCACAACAGTGTGAATGTACTTAATGCTTCTAAATTTTATACTCAAAAAGGGTTAAAATGGTAAATTTTATGTTGTGTATATTTTACCACAATTAAAAAAAAAAAAACCCTCCAAATGGATTCAAAACCTAATGAGAAAAGTAGCTTTAAGGTCCTAACAGTAAATATATGGCAATATTTTCATTAACCTAAGGTGGGAGATTGTGCCTTATATAAAGTGTCAAAATCTCTCTGTCTCTCTCTCTCTCACACACACACCAACACAAAAAGTAAACGATGGTAATCAGGCCTTTGAGATTCATTTATACAGAAAGTAGACGCTAGAGCAGTTGATGTCAGGGAGGGTAAGCAGGCCCTACTTTAGTTGGAGCAGTTTTTCTTTTTTGGTGAGGGAGATCAGCCCTGAGCTAACATCCGTGTTAATCCTCCTCTTTTTGCTGAGGAAGACCGGCTCTGAGTTAACATCTGTTGCCAATCCTCCTCCTTTTTTTTCTTCCCCAAAGCCCCAGTAGATAGTTGTATGTCATAGTTGCACATCCTTCCAGGTGCTGTATGTGGGACGCGGCCTCAGGATGGCCAGAGAAGCGGTGCGTCGGTGCGCGCCCCCGATCCGAACCCGGGCCGCCAGCAGCGGAGCGCGCGCACTTAACCGCTAAGCCACCGGGCCGGCCCATAGTTGGAGCAGTTTTGATTGCAAGGGACACAAGCCACTCAAGTTAGGTTAAGTGAAGGTGGTTTTTGTATAAGAGCAGAAGCAGTCTCAGCCTCCCAGGATAGAAACTGAAGTGTAACTGGACAGTCTGGGCACTGGGCCTGGAGAGTCTGAAGTAGACTTTTCCTCTGGAGACCCCTTGGGCTGAGCTGGGATCTCTTCTGGGACACCATGCCTGCTGCTCCTGTTTCTGCTCGCAGATGAGATTTCTCCACTTACGTGTAGCTTCCTCGTTCCCCCATAACTTTCCTGTAATCGTGACTTGCCGTGGCTCCCGTCGTGGCTCCTGCATGTCCTGACTTGAGTTTCAGTGCTCACTGTCATCTGACTCTAGTCTCTACGGCTCGTATTTAAAATACTCAAGATGGAGAATTGGACTGACTCCTCTTAGCCAGTTGCTTTGTTTCCATAGGCCGGGTGTTCATCCTGGTCATGTCGACTGTGAAGAGGTTGGTTAGGATCCGTTGGCCTGCTGATCATTTAGAGGGGCTTAGGGTGAAAGGAGATTGTGTGAGAAGGGGACCGTAGCAGGGGGTCCTGGCATTTCAAACTGTCTCCATCAAACAGTGTAAACAAAGAATATTGACTTCAGAATGGATTTCTTATGTTCAGTTGCTATAGTGAGTAAACTTTTTGCAGAGAAAGTGTTCACTGTAGCTATAGATAGGAGGCCAAGCGTCCTCAGTCAGCCAGCTGGGTGTGTGTGGAGTAAGTCAGTAATGGGTGTAGTAACTAAGGCTGTGCTTTGAGCAGTGGGGAAGCAGGCAGGACACACTGGAACGAGATGGTCTGTGCAGTCTTTGGCCTATGTGGGTTGTCAGGTAGAATCAGGCAAATTTGGGGAATGTCAGTGTCATCTGACGTTTTCCACAGTTCAGATATTCGGGTGAGCTTCCTCATTTTCCCCCTCGTTGTGGACAGTAAACTTGAAAGGTTGTAAACCTGCATCCTTAGTAAGAAAGGGAGACATTGGCTCAGAAGAGGGGATCTGGGGGGAAGGAAACAGAAAACAGCCTCTGTTTAAGCGTATGGGGCCACCTGTGTGCACAATTGTTTGGCTTTTCTTGGATATATCCTTCCTGCCTCTAATCTCTGGTTTTTCTTGATTTCTCATGGTAGAAGGAGAAAACAATTATAGTCGACAGGTGGAAGACTATGAAAGAACAGTAGTTTGGAGGTACTATGTAAAGGGCTAATAGCCTAAACACCATCGAATTCTCTGAATATACAGCTGCTTAGTAATTGATGTTTCATAGTGATGAACTTGAGTGTATTCAGAAAAGCAATACTACTTAGTATGTTCTGCTTAACAAAAGAGGAAAGTATATAAGGTTTTAAAGAAACATAACCATCAAAGTAGTTGTTAGTAGTTAAAGGGATTTGATTCCTTTTTTTAATAGTTTATTGAGATACATTCATATATTATAAAATTAACCCTTTTAAAATGTACAATTCAGTGGTTTTTAGTATATTTATACAGTTGTGCAGCTAGCACCACTGTCTAATTCCAGAACATCTACATGCCAAAAAGAAACCTGTACCCATTAGTAACTCTTGACTTTATGGATTTGCCTGTTCTGGGCATTTCATATAAATGGAATCCTACAATATGTGGCCTTTTGTGACTGTTCTTCTTTCCCTTAGCATAATGTTTTCAAGGTTCATACATGTTGAGGATGTATCAGAACTTCATTCCTTTTATGGTGGAATAATACTCTATTGTGTAGATGTACCATATTTTATTTATCTGTTCACCAGTTGATGGACATTTGAGTTATATTCACTTTTTGGCTATTATGAATAATGCCGCTATGAACATTTGTGTACA